CCCTTACATAAATAAAATTAGGGACCAAACATGCAACTTTTACCAAACCATAGGGACGGAAAACGCAACAAAATCAAACCACAGGGACGATCCGAGTGCAAAACAAAAATTAGGGACCAAACGTGCAATTTTAACCAAAGCACAATGACGATTTCAGTATTTTACTATTGTTTTAATGTTTTCACATAGCGGTGTTATAACTTCTTTATTCCGTCGTTATATGATTTATTTTTATAACTTTATTATTTTTATTTGAAAATTTGAAGTTATAAAAATAAATTGTAAAAAACATTTAAAAATAAAATTATATAAACTAGTTGTGAAAAAACATTTATAAACAAAATAAATGGATGAAGTTTTAAAAACACATTATAGAAAAAACGTTTTAAAATGAAGTAAAAAGATATTTTGAAAAAACATGAAAAAATGGAGTAAAACAATGAAATTGTAATTTAGATTGCGGAAAATATGTAAAAACAGAGTAAAAAAATAAAGTAAAAACTAGATGAGAAAAAACATGTGAACAAAGTAAAAAAAGTAAAGTAAAAACAAGATATGAAAAACATGTAAAAATAATGTAGAAATAAAGTTATAAAAACAAATTGTAAAAACCTTAAAAAATGAAATAAACAATAAACTCATAAAAACGAAGTGTGAAGTAACATATATAAATGTCTAAGCATAAATATAAAAGTTCTGTGATTAAAATATAACCAAAAAAAAAAACAAAGTTAAATGAGTTTAGATAACCAAAATAAGCCTAAAAAATATAAAAACCTATTATAATAGATCATAATAACCACTTTGGCAAAATCCAACAAATTAATTATTTTTTAAAACTTAAAAAGATAATTAAATGACCAAATGAATATAATTACAAACATAATTCCTCTCTTGAATGTAATTCCAAATTTAGTTTTCTTGTTATTTTTTACTTCCTAACTCTGTCTAGTTTTTCAATGAAACTAGGCGAATGTTCGTGCGTTGCGCAGAAACAACTATATAGTCGAATTATTTACAATATATGTTTTTTTAAATATAACCATAACGTTGTTGTTAAATTTGATATAATAATTCATATACTAAATTGATATAATATATTGATTATTTTGAATTATATGATAATATCTACATCTATTATAACTGCATAATCTCAATCGTTTGAATGACCTCTACCTGTGAGTTAATATGAATAAAATTAAATATAATATATGGTTTAATGTTATTTATAGTTGTTGTTATTATTAATTAATATTTTAAAATTTATTTGCTTAATGTTTTAATTTCTATCATTATAATTATGTAAAACATCAAACATTTTTTATTTTTATTTTAAAGGTAACATTATAATCATTTATATATAGTTATTTTTAATTATTTTTATTGTAAGTTATTTTCAACTACTTATTTGAAAATTTTTAACGATTATAAAAATCTCTTTAGGAAATATTTTAGTTAAACTGATATTACAATTTAGTTTTTGCATTTATTGATACAATTTATCACTCTTAACTATTTAAAAAATATTTTATGTTTTTTTAAGTGAGACTGAAATTTATATTTAAGTTGACACTGTAATGTTATATTTAAATCAACAATTTAAGTATTTTGTCAAAACTGTTCAAAAGTTGTAGCTTTAAACTGATACTAGTTTACATACAACAACATATTAAATTTAATAAATTAAGTATAATATGTTAAAAGTTAAAGACATAGTTTTATAAGTAGAAGTAAATATATTATTTTAAATTGAAATTTTATTTATTTATGATTACACTTTAGGTTTGATATTTATTGAACTTTATTAACCAACTTATAATCATTATTAGAAAGACACTACAATTTATCATTTTTAACTATTTACAAAGTATTTTTTGGATTGTTTAAGTTAAACTAAAGTTTATATTTAAGTTGATCCATTAATGTTATATTTAAAATAATAATTTAAATATTTTATATAAATTGTTCAAAAATTGTATCTTTAAAATGATAATAATTTACATCCAACAATATATTAAAACTAACAAATTAAATATAATATGTTAAAACTTAAAAAACATAATTTTATAAGTAGAAGTAAATATATTATTTAATATTGAAATTTAGTTTATATATGATTATACTTTAGGTTTGATATTTAATAAACATTATTAACCAACTTATAATTATTATTAGAAAGAAATTGAAAAGTCATAGGAGTTTCAAATGAATGTGGTGAAAGAAAAAAAAAAATACTTCCTTTATAAATGCACTATGCGAATGCCCGCGCGTTGTGCAGAAACACCTATATAGTTGAAGTCTTTATAAATATATAATTTTTTAAATGTAACAATAACGTCGTTGTTAAATTTGATATAATAATTTGTATATACTAAATTGATATAATATATTGATTATTTTGAATTAAATGATAATATATACATTTATTATACCTTCATAATCTCAATCGTTTGAATAATTTCTACCCGCGAGTTACACATGAATAAAATTAAATATAATATATGATTTGATGTCATTTACAGTCATTTTATTGTTAATTAATTTTTTAAAATTTATCTGCTTAATGTTTTAATTTCTATAATTATAATTATTTAAAACATCAAACATTGTTTTTTTTTTATTATTTTAAAGCTAACAATATAATCATTTATATAGAGTTGTTTTTAACTATTGCTATTGTAAGTTATGTTAAGCTACTTATTTGGAAACTTTTAACGATTATAAAAATATATTTAAGAAATATTTTAGTTAAATTGAGATTACAATTTCGTTTTTGCTTTTATCACTTTTACAAAATATTCTTTAGTTTTTTTAAATGAACTGAAATTTATATTTGAGTTGACATTGTAATGCGCAGAAACACCTATATAGTTGAAGTCTTTACAAATATATATTTTTAAAAATATAACACTGACGTTGTTGGTAAATTTAATATAATAATTCGTATATTAATTTGATATAATATATTGATTATGATAATATATAAATCTATTATAATGTCATAATCCCAATCGTTTGAATGACTTCTACTCGCGAGTTACACATCAATAAAATTAAATATTATATATGGTTTAATATTATTTATAGTTGTTATTTTTAACTAATTTTATAAAATTTATTTTGCTTAATGTTTTAATTTCTATCATTATAATTATTTAAAACATCAAACATTATTTTTTTATTTTAAAGGTAACAATATAATCATTTATATAGAGTTATTTTTAACTATTGTTATTATAAGTTAAGCTACTTATTTGAAATTTTTTAACGATTATATAAATATATTTAGGAAATATTTTAGTTAAACTGATATTACAATTTAGTTTTTGCATTTATCACTATAATTTATCACTTTTAACTATTTACAAAATATTATTTGGTTTTTTTAATGGAACTGAAATTTATATTTAAGTTGACACTATAATGTTATATTTAAATTAACAATTTAAGTATTTTGTCCAAACTGTTCAAAAATTATAGCTTTAAATTGATAATGGTTTACATGCAACAACATTTTAAATCTAATAAATTAAGTATAATATGTTAAAATTTAAAGACATAACTTTATAAATAGAAGTAAAGATATTAGAAATTTAGTCTATTTATGATTACACTTTAGGTTTGATATTTATTTAACCTTATTAACCAACTTACAATCATTATTAGAAAGACACTATAATTTATCAATTTTAACTATTTATAAAATAATCGTTGGATTGGTTAAGTTAAATAAAATTTATATTTAAGTTGAGTCTATAGTGATATATTTTAGTTCATAATTTTAGTATTTTATACAAACTGTTCAAAAATTATACCTTTAAAATGATAATGATTTACATCCAAAAATATATTAAAACTAATAAATTAAGTATAATATGTTAAAAGTTAAAAAACATAATTTTATAAGTAGAATTAAATATATTATTTTAATATTAAAATTTATTTTATATATGAATACACTTTAAATTTGATATTTATTTAACCTAATTACCAAATTATAATTATTATTATAAAGAAATTGAAAAGTTATGGGAGTTTCAAATGAATATGGTGAAAGAAAAAAAAAAAATAGGAGTTTAAATGCTTGAGATTAAAAAAAAATGATAGTTTTATAAATATGTATGATATAAATAGATTTGACTTGTCGTGTAAGAAGGCACAATAGTCGATGGTGGAGCAACATGTATTTAGGTAACCAAACTAGTCATTATGAATATAGGAGATAAGTCTAGAAAGGAGTGAAGGGTAGAAGTGCAAAACCAAGATTTGAAGTTCCTTACAATATCATAAAATACACTTGAGTTCATTACAATGTGGTACCTGCGACACATGCATAAGCATACAAATTTGTTGAACCACATATGAAATGTCAGGTCGTGTGAAAGTGAGGTATGTTAAAGCTTCAGCTAAGCATCATTAATATAAGAATGATCGCCAACCGAATCACCAATGGGTAAACTAATATAATAAAACCATCAACATACCTATACAATCTCATTTAGATAATCTTCTCTCTAAAACACCTCACAAGCTTTTGTCTTACTGTTTATGAAACCTGAATCAAATTTCTCATATAATGATTTCAATAATCAAAATACATATTAACAAACCTGAAGATCATAGCAATTTTAGTAAAGATCATAGCCAATGAATCTGAACATCGCATTTAAGCATATGATTAATAAAAACATAAACTATAAAAAAAACATAATCAGTTGCAATTGCTTAAAGCTGAAATGAAACCTAAAGATTGCCTTTAATCATAGTGAAAACATTACAATATCAACAAGAAAATCATTTGTTGGGTTTGGTTTTACATAAAAACAATTTCCAACATCATTCTACACACTACCATTACAATGTCAACAGCACTCACACAACTGTAAAAACAAACTTAAAAAACTTTTAATACTACTACTTTATTTCTTCACATCATATGTCAGACGCTCAATTCCTCAATTCCCGTTTGCATAATATCCATGTAAGTTGAGACGACACGACTATTGCTCGAGTAAATGGTGTCTAACCAACAACTTTGGTATTCCCATTGTTGAAATGCTCTCATATCCAAATACTTCCTTCAGCTTTTCATCACACACAATCATCACTGAATTTCCAGGATCCTATCATTCAAAAAAATCAAATCAACTACACTTCATCCCTTTTTAAGACTATTATTGTTACTTATTCTTCTGTTATCATATTTTCAGACATGCCAACAATCAATTAAATTATTACAATAATAGCCGATGAATCTGTCGATAAAAAAAGTGTAATAATCATCTGGTAATAATCAAATTAACAAATATATTATTAATATTTCTTGATAAAAATCACCTATTTCATGTCAATAGGACGTTACCTGTATGTATGAACAAATTTAATAAGATTAACAAGTATATTACTAAATGATTTTGGCATTCAAAATCATTATATGATAACTTTCAAACTTGTAATTCATCAAAACATTATAAATATACAACTTAAATAAAGGGAAAAAACAAAAAGATCAAACATACTTACCAAAGCAAAGTCATCTGCAGTTAGATGAGCTAAATAAAATCTCCAAGATACAGACACTTCAAATCGTCTCTTTCAGTTCAAGACAACATTCACTGTACTACTGTAGAACAAAATCCATAAAATTGGATAACCATGACAATTAATAACATTAACAATAATAAATATTACTAGATTTCCATATGAAGGATACTGATTGTTTTAAATCCGAGTACCTGATTCTGAACATCATTGGTGACTGCACTATATCCTCTCCAATTGAAATTATACGGGGAAACGTTCGCCGGAAGGATCGGAGCCTCGCTAACGTTGGCATGGAACCTGAGATTACATCCAGATCTCAATCCGATATGCTTTTGTAATTTAGATGCATTTATCTTGGAAAATCAAATGATGCCGTGTACAAGCTAACAGATCAAACTTTTGGTGATTCTTTGACCGACGGAAGTTAGTTTTGAAGTCATGCTCCTCCGTGTTCAAACGACTGGTCTCCGTCTTCGACCACCTCACCGACGAAGACGTCATCTCCGACGACTAAGAGGCGATTAGACGACAACAATAGAGATGAGAGAGAGAGAGAGAGAGAGGAGTCTGAATTATTTATTTACTAAAATGCCCCTGATTCATAATAATTAAGATGCCCCCATCTATTTTTTTCAAACTATTTACGAAAACGCCACCGAGCATCCTAGCCTTTTATTATTTTGATCTAACGGCCCACAATTGGTTCTTGGGTTCTCGGGAAATTTTGAGTTCTCAAAAAAAAAAAAAAAATATATATATATATATATATATATATATATATATATATATATATATATATATATATATATATATATATATATATATATATATATATATATATTCTGATAAAGGCTCAACTAAAAGGTAAGTATGGATCACATGTAATTGCGATCGAATCAGGAAAAGATCGTATGAAAAGGAAATATGCATTCACCACTTGTATATTGTGCCTTTGCTGTGAGTTTGAGTCAACTAAAAGCAAAGACGCATACTTCATATGGCATTCATGAACACCTTGTGATATACTATTTAACTTTTGCAACCCATAAACGGAAGGCATTAAACCACAATGCTTTTGATTGTGATATGAATCTAATACATGTTAGAACAAACAGTCACATTGTAAAAAAAACAAATCGGTATAAAAATCTCAATTGAGAAGAAATTAGAGCTTATTAATGCAAAGAGATTTTTTTTTTAACAAAAAAAAGTTTATGAACGGAAAATTTACAGTAGATAAAATATGATATCTATAAGGTCCTAAAAATTTGAATAGATTTTTCATTTTAAAATTAAGTTTACCAATTAAAAACCTTTAACTTAAAAACAATAAATGACATTTATTTGTGGAAAATTGGTTTTTCATTGTAATTATTTTTTCGTTTTGTTAACATCTGGTAACCTTTTTTTTTCTGGTTTTCGGTATACATTTGGGTAAGAAACTTTTTAAAATGTTCACATATGATCATTTTGACCGGTTACAACCGATTATAATGATCATATGTGAACACTTCCAAAAAATTTATTATTTAGATGTGTACAAAATAAATAAATAAATAAATAAAACAAAGTTACTCAGATATGAACAAAACGAAAACATAATTACCTTGATAAGTCAATTTCTCTTCTTTATTAAGGCGGTCAATCATAACGTTAGCAATATATTCAGTTAATTTTTCTTATAACAATATTTATGAGCATTTAAATTGGCCACAACATGGTGATAGCTGTTTTTGGTAGCATAATTATCAAATGGTTTTATATATGAAACAAGAGCAATGTTATCGATATAGATAAAAGCTACTTCTATATTTTGTATTTTAATTTTCTGAAATACATGGAGCAAACTTCATTGAAGATCGTGTTCTTTTTCATGTTATTAGTCTTCATCTCCGGTACTTTTATTCTCTAGTTAATTTTAGTTTTTATATTTAATATTTTATACAATAAAATTCTATAAATGATGATGTGGTTTTCCCTATCAAACAGTGGAGTTTTTTTTTTTTTTTTTTTTTTTTTTTTTTATTTTTTAAAATTTTTTTTTATACCAAAGTAGTGTATTTTAAAAAGATATTTACCAAAATGATGTGATTTTAAAAATATTTACCATTTAGGTTAAACTTAGAAGGTAAAATAAAAAAGAAGACATTGAATTATCAGAGTAATTACCTTTTTGTTTTGTTCACATCTGGATAACTTCGTTTTTGTTACATAGTTAAGGTAATAAACTTTTTGAAAGTGTTCACATATGAACATTATGATCGTTTGTAATTTGCTACAGCCGATCATAATGGTTATATGTGAACACTTTCAACAAGTTTATTTCCAAGATGTGTACAAAAAAAAACAAAGTTACCCAGATGTGAACAAAACCATAGAGTTATCAGAGTCAATTTACAAAAGTAGCGTAAATCAATATCGTTGATGCGTGTGTACAGTCATGTTGAGCTCTTCTCATGAACAACCTGCAAAACATTTTATTCACAACTGTAAGCATAATGTTCAGTGAGTTCCCCGGTATTCCATATAATCCATCATATATACAATGCATCCACACAAAGTCCTCCGCTTTAACATTAAACTTTCTCCTCTCCTAATCACAATCATAAATCATACATAACGGGCCTAACACAACCAAACAAACGGGTCCGACCGAGGGCGTATAACGGGCCCAATTCTAACTCATATAACAGGCTTACCCCATTATACATAACAAGTCAATGTCAAGGGCCATATCCTGATCTTTCATACAATATATAATGTCATGTGTGGTTAGAAATCAGATAGACAGTCAAACAGGTGGTCCACCCCGAAAGCAATGAATCAAATAAGAACCATGAAATAAGGCTTTAGACCACGATTTCTCAAAGTATCCAACTTAAACACCTACAACCATTACAAACATTACCCTAACCAACCGTGACACCTAAAAATATCATATAGTCTACAAGCAAGACCTTACTAGTCCAAAGAGTATCATCGTAAAGTGAAAACATAAGTGGGTATGTTGTGATTAAGTCGGGGCCTTCCCTTTCGAAACAGAAGTACCTGAAAACATAACTATAAAACCGTAACCACAAAGCTTAGTGAGTTCCCCAAAATACCACATACCATACATACCATTGGGCCTCGCCCTCACATTGGGACTAACCCACATATTGATAATGGGCCTAGCCCATCCAAACTAATGGGCCCAGCCCGATCATGCTAATGCAAAAGTCACAAAGACAGGTTGCACCTACATAACATACAATAAGCCTAGCCCCTCCTGAACCATGGGTCCATCCCGACATACCAATGGTCCTAGCTTTCCATACAATGGGCCTAGCCCGACATACCATGTAAGAGTCACGAAGACATCTAACATAACATAACTTAGTGGGCCGGAATTGGTGCCTTTGACCCACAAGTACATTAAGGAGACTCACCTCTAACTACTGAAACACTCGAATAAATCTCTGACTACTGGTCCGGAGAATCCTCGCGCTATCATCATCAAAAGACATCCAATTATTAATTGGGTTCCGACCCATAATCAAGAGTCTAAACTACTTAGCCCATAACTAGGGTAAAAGAGCATTCTACCCTTTATCTCACTTGGCCCAAAGCTAAGGCCCAACTCAACTACTCCAAAGGCCCAAATCCTAAAAAAATATTCCAAAGCCCAATATGGCATAATCTTTCAAATTGGGCCCAAAACCCATCATGGGCCTAAATCTAAAGGAACTCAAAAATACAAAACAGAAGCCCAAAATAGAAGTCTAATGGCCCAACAAGACCCAGACTAATAAAACCCAAACAATGACCCGGAACCAAGAATACCAAGTCCAAACGTACATTTGTTGAGTACGTAGGGCGTACTCATCTTGTACGCTAAGCGTACTCCATATGGGGTCAATACGCACAACATACCAGTTGGGTATGCACAGCGTACTCCCCACACCACCTTTTCACTCCAATAAGAACTTAATCGGTTGTGACCTCGAGCCAAACTCTCAGATCAGATCCTAAAGGGGAACTTATCACGTAAATTTGTGTGCATGGAGGGTATGTAATGGATCTAAGCATAGGGTGGTGTTAGATCCCCTCTACATGTTCTTGTCTGATGAATTCTTTGGGGTTCGAAAAATTACCCAGACACCTGATTAGGGTATAGTCGGTTGTAGGATCGACTCATGATGATTGTGGTCGGGTATAGTAGATGGACGGTAAGACCATGGTGTTGGGTTTTGAGCATTCTAACACTCCTATGGTGTACATGCAACCTAAATACCTTGGATCTATGTTTTCTCTATTATACACGCAAATATCAGTTTTCCAAGGTATTATCCTAATTAGCATATTATGAAGTACAAGTAATATAAAACTAGTAGAATTACATACCTCTTTGTTGGTGCTTGATTCCATGGAGCTCAAGAGCCTAGTGCCCCAACTGTGACACCTCAAATGGTTTACACAACACCATGAACATTTGGAATAACCATTAGAGAAATGCATACTTCATGAAATTGGCTTGCCCTCTACATACACACATAGTAGCTGATTTTTGCACAAGAATATGATGCTTATATAGTTGTTATAATTAGGGTAAACACTAATTGTCATGGCTTTCCATTTACTTGGATCCATGGGTTCAAATACACCATGGAGCATCCATGGAGTATCCTATGGGTTTTAGCCCAACTTTATAATCCATGGAGTCTTAGCCCACTATACAAGTATGGATGATTTACAAAAGCAACCCATATATTATATTCATCTTCTTTTGACCACTTAATTAATTCTAGATTAATTCTTGATCAATACTAATTTAATAATCTTATTAATATATCATAACTTATAATATATTAATAAACCTTAAGTGTTATTTCTCTCATTTTAGTCTATCCAAATGCATGATGCCATGCAACCCAAATGGACCATGCCGGGTCGGGTCAAGTATATACCAATTATAGTAGCTCTTAAAAGTTGTTGTCGAACTCTAAACAAATCAATGACGCGTCCATTAGACAAGTGATCATATATTCCTCCATTCTAGATATCATATGGACTGAGACATGGATTATAATCATTCTCGTTGCCCATTTGTTGTTTCCCGATGTCCGATTTATGATGACCGACTAATTGAATAAATCAAATCAATCCAAGCTTGGCCAAGCACTTATGGGTGTCATCACTAAATCATCGAGGGACCCACATATATCGCTTTTATCCCTTTAAGGATAAAAGGAATGGATAAACTTCGACTAATATGCTTGTACCATCTACTTTTTGAGTCATACATAAAGGCACGTTTTATAAAATCGAGTTACCAATGCGTTTTCGTACAATCAATGTATAACCAACTGATAGTCAACAACTCATATCTCTAGCGTGGGTTTAATCCAATACTCGGAACTTATGAGTACTCATGAATGTTGCAGCAACCATTGCTATGTCTAATGCACATTAGACAAATCGTACAAGCAAAATTCATGACAATCTTAAATCAATACCTACTT